GCGCTTTAAACTTTCAAAGGACTAATTTAATCTCTGCGGAGGTACCGGGGTTATTTTTACTACGCGATTTTCTATAGGTCGGCGTCTTATGTGAATGCAACTATCGCATAACAGCAGAGATGACTGTACACATCAATCACATGACAGAGTCGCAGTCAATTGCGGGGACCAACGAATTGCCGACTGTAAGTGTATAAAATAAATTTTTTAAATTCCCTTTATTTTATTTCCGTTATTTCAGAGCTTTAAATGTAATGCCATTATACTACTCGTCAATGTTTGGGTGCTGGGAACGCATGTCATTGACTTCCCATTGATTTACATTATAAAAGAGTTTCAATTTGCACCGGTTCGTCCAGGAACGCATCCCCGGCGTAAATCGAGGGCTACCTGTACTGTTTTTTTTAATATTATTATTGAAGTCATATCTGTAATGTGGTTTGACTTTGCAATTGTGTCTTGTTTTTGTATAAATATAATTGTGTACTTCATCATTAATATTGTGTTCCAGGTGTCACAGTTTGGTCGCACAGTGTGCCTTTCTGGTTTCATGGGTATAGATTTGCCTAAAGGCCCTCTCTGGATCCTAGGTGATGTCTTTATTGGCAAATTTTACACAGAGTTTGACATGGGGAATGATCGTGTTGGATTTGCAGTTGCTGCATAGAAACTATGTGTGATTTACCAAAGTTAAGTTCTGTTTTTAGTTAAAAGTATATATCCCATTTTTCAGAGGTTTTCATGCAGTGTAATATTGAGCATTTGTGTGTATTGACCCAATAGCTCATCACAGTGTACTAGAATCCCAAATTGCAATTGGAATAACTTGATGTTTTCATGGCAGTGAAGATGTCAGTTATGGTCTTGTGGGCTGTGAATTCATGTGGTTGCTTGGTAAGTGGTTACCATCACATAAGAGGAACATTAGTACGTTCTTCTCAGACATCGGTAGCCACCTACAAAATTACGTGGTATCTCAACCCAGAAGACCAAGTGATGTTACCTGTTGTGTTTCACTTAAATGCTGGATTGTGATATAAAAATAATTGTAGTGTACTTTAAATCAAACTTTTAATGTATTGCTGAGTGAAAACGAGACATTTGTCATACCGTGGGACCAACTTTTGAATACCTGTGTCGTAGAAGTCTGCCGCCTGGGATTGGAACCACTGTGTGACAACCATCTCCGCCTCTCTTTCATTCTCAAAACGCTGACGCTGACGCTGACCGGACAGGAATTTCTTGAGGTGTAGGAAAAGATGGAAATCACTGGGAGCGAGGTCCGGGCTGTAGGGTGAATGATTAAACACCTCCCAGCTGAACTCCTGCAGGAGACTTGCTGTCTGTCGAGCCGTGTGCGGCCTAGCGTTATCACTGACCGCACTTCACAGTCGGCGGGAGCTGGAATAAGAACCTCCATCTTCAACAGCTGCAACGATGCTACTGTGAGAACGCGGGAAGTACCGTTAGTGCATGCGCCATGCTACGTCATTGATCTATCACGTACGCACAGTCGCTTCGCGCAATATAAGGTTTGCTAGCTGTGGGACGAGTGGGAAACTTACTTTGTGGACGCGCCTCGTATGTTGCAAAATACTGATTTTTACTATATTAAGACATAAGTTAATTTTATCTTTGCACTAATATCATGGTAATTTTCTTTGAAGCAGCTGTTCTTTGTGGATTACTGTATTCTGTACTGTACTTTATATGTTTTTGTGCAGAGATTAAGGTGTCCAAATACATTTATGAACCTTCTGTTATACTGGGTGCGTTAGAGGAAACGCATGTTTTTCGAATGGCTGGTACTCAGCAAGGAGGAGGGTGGGGGATTTCCGCCCCTTGCTAGTAGATGGCTTAGATGATGCAGGTGGTTTGTGGCATGTTTCCCCAACACGTCATCTCCTGTTTCATTGATATCCCTTGGCTGCCTCGCTCCCCTGACCTGTCTGTATGTGACTATTTTTTGTGGGGTTACCTCAAATCAAAGGTCTACAGAAACAAACCACACAACATCCAGGAACTGAAAGATTCCATTCGCCAGGAAATCGCTACTGTGGAGGATGAAATGTTGGGAAGAGCAATGCAGAATTTCGAGGAGAGGCTGCAAGAGTGCGTACAGAAGGAAGGGCGTCACTTGACTTATTTTTTTGGAAGTAATTAAAAAATGTTCAACAAAAACTGTGTTGTAAAACCTTTCTTTTTGTGTAATTACAATTTTTTTAACTTGAAAATCAACTGAGTTATTGTTATTTGAAAAACATGCATTTCCTCTGCCACACCTGGTATATACTGTGTGTACCTGAATGTGACACAGTTTTTCTTTATTTTTGTTATGTGAGAACAGTTTAAGGGAATATGTAAAAGATTTGTAATTGTTAATTGAATTTATCTGTTAAGTCTCTTATTTCTGTTGAATCTTTAAGTTTTTGTTTCAAGAGTTTAGGCAGTTCTCATAAGATCAGAGGTCACCTTAAATTTTTATAATTACAGCATTTAATATTCATAATTTTTGTGTAGAAATACTTACAATTTATGTATAAGAATTGCTGTGTTTGAAAGTTTTAAATTTTTGTATTTTTCTTTCTCTCTCATAAATGTGGTAAAGAATAAGTGAAGATTTATGAACCATAGCTGAAAGAAGGCTGCTTTAGGGTAAATAGATGTGCAGTAATACTGTGATATACGTAGTTAAAATTTCTTTTAAAACACGCTTGATATGTGACTAATTTGTATTTGCTTGTGTAACATTTCAGCATTCACATGACATGTAAGAAACATTTCTGGTCAGTAAAATGTGAGAAGTGACGTATAACATTCTCATTTTTCCTTCATGATGAGCATTTGAAACAAATGAATATGTATCTGGTTGCAGGCATAACAGTAACTTCAGTTGTGTTACAGGTGAAAGGATTTGTTATTTATACATACCATATTTTTGAGTATCCTTCAATTCTGTTGGTTGTGTTGTAAACATTTAAGAATCCAGTCAACTTGTATCAGATGGGCTTCTGGCTATTTTCATAGGGTAATGAGGAATGTAACCAGCCACGGTGGTCTAGCGGTTAGAACGCTGGCCTTGTAATCCTGGGGTCTCGGGTTCGATTCCCGGCGGTGCCCGAATTTATAACTTGTGTTGGGCAAGGCCGTGGTCTAGGCAACACGGAGTTTTCTTCCGGGGGCTTCCCCGGTTTCTCCGTGGCATCCCAAGAATTACTCCATTCACACACAGAAGAAGGCAATGGCAAACCACTTCTGGATCATCTGCCAAGAACGTATATGAACAGGTCCCAGTCCGAGAAAAGGATGGAAGGATCCTGTTCATATGGACCTGTCGTCAGACAGAACACTGCAAATAAAAATAAAAAATGAGGAATGTAACCAAATTATAATATGAGCACTTTCCAGTTGTGTTGTGCTAGTGTACTGAACTAATTAGGCCTAACAGACCTACTATAAACAGGATGTTTATTTTACAATAGCCATCGTTTTGGGTAGTTCTTGGAAATACCTGTTGGCAAAATTAGTTTATTTTAAAATAAATTTCCAGTTGTACAGGATATGACCACGTTCAGTTACCATTATCATTCACAGCATCGTGTTGTGCAGTTTTATCTCTCGTGTTATTTTATTGTGTTCTATCAAGTGTGCTAAAATCTTTTTTTGACATTACGACAATGGTCAGCTTGCGCGCATTGTTATGTTACCTAGGAAACATCATCTGTTTACTCGGCATTGTTGTGTTACATTACTGCCGTCAACAATCCGCATTCGTTATTGCTGAAAGAGCTGAGCTGTGAATCGGTTGAAGAAGTACGTCATAAAGTAGATAATTTTGTGCTGGTAAAAACGTTTTAGAATATCACAAATACTTATCTCATAAGAATTATTTCATTAACATTACAGAGACGTATTTACGTCAGATTCTCCGGAACCGTGGTTCCACTATCAACTTTTTCTTTTAATTTCTTTACGTACATTTTGTCCTGTATTTTTGTTTACCGGTATATTAAAGTGACTTGTACTTTTAAACTGCTTTCATTGCTACTTTTTGTCCAGTGCACGTTACTGAACTAGTCACAAATGACAACAAAAAGAAAAACTTATTACGTTCAAGAAAAATTAGACATTATCGACAAAGTGAAACAGGGTCGTTCGAAGTCTAGTTTATTTCGGGAATTAGGCGTACCGGAGGGAACAATTCGTGGATGGATGCGAGAGGATCAAGAAATGCTTTCTTATATAGACCAAATAGACCACAGAGTCGGGCTAGATTGAAAAAAAATCAGGTTGCCTGATACAACCAATGTAAACGAATGTCTTTACCTGTGGTTTTTACAAAAATGCAGTGAAGGAATTCCGTTGTCCGGGCCGATTCAACAAGCTCAGGCACTGAAATTTCATAAAGAACTAAATGAATACGAGTTCACGGCATCAAGTGGGTGGTTGTCACGGTGGAAAATTCGTCATGGTGTAGCTCAGATAAATATAGCAGGAGAATCCAGTTCTTCTGACAGAGCTACAGCTGAAAAGTTTACAGAGCTACTACAGCAAGCAGCTGAAGGACACAACTATAGTGATGAACAGTTGTATAATTGTGATGAGACGGCACTTTTTACAAAATGCTTCCATAAGTATGTGTACTCTTAAATGGCGATAGTCTATCAATACTGTACGTACCGTACAGTACGTCCAGTACTTGTACCGATTTTCCGATGCACTCCCGTAATAACGCGGGTTTACCAATGCCCCCCCCCCGCGACCCGCGTTATAGCGGGGTTGTACTATATACAGTTCTCTAATTTTGCCTGTTATGTATGGGTGATCGTGATAATGAACATAGTTCCATAAAATAAATTTCTTTACTAGCTGAGTGACTTAAATTGTCAAGGACACTTGCTTCTTTGTGGTGTGAAGTACTTAGTTGATAGGTTTAAATGAGTAGACTTTACAAGAAATCTGAATTATTGTGAGGTACAGATTAAATTGCAGCATACATTTATAAATTTGATGGGAAATGTGAAACAGACTGATCACAGTTTTGTTGATTAAATATGGCTTTGAGGTATAATTGATGTTTAATATTTTAGAGGGATTATGATTATGTTGAGTACCTGTTTTTTTTAGAGAAGAAGGGAAAGATGATGGTATGAACAGCATAATCCTGGGGTGCATTGTGTGGGTTTACGAATTGGGCTAGTGTTCGTACCGATTCAGAGATGGCAGGACTATGCATGATGCTACGTTTCTGAAGAGTTGCACGTTTGTCATTGCACTTTGTATTTGTAGTCGGTTGTAATATGTTAATAATGGTGGTTGGTAGAGAGTAATATAGTCACGATAACAAAATATAATAAATGCAGTGCATATTAATAGAAATAGTTTTTGTGTGATTTGAGGACGTTATATTATAACTGTGAAATGATCCATAGGAAATATTAGATATATTTGAGTTAACATTTGAATCGGTACAATTGTGTCATATCTAATGGTAAGTTTTACACGAGGTTTGATTGTGTATTAACTAACGAGATTATTATGAATATTATTTGGAACCCAGATCGTGTTTGCGGACAAAACATACACTGACGAAGGATTGTGCAAGATACCTTAACCTGACCTGTATGTATTAGTAAATGGGAATGTGACGCAACGATTGTTTACATGCTAACAAAGCTTTTATAAAGAAGTTAATATGTTCTTACATGTTTCGTGCTACTGATACAATTTGAAAACATAAGACTATCAGTTCTAATGTTCGAAGATAATTCAGATCTTATGAAAACAAAAACAATCACCATGTTGACCTGTTGTAACATGCAAGAGCACTCAACCGAACGTTGTTGTGTCTCTTCATTCTTGCCTTATATTTGAGAGGTATTGACTCAAATCTTGGATCTGAGATTGATTATCCTGAGTCCCTCCAGGCAAATTGATAGCACCATAAATTAAACATTTACCACATTCTTCCACATTGTTTCCAGTTCATTCTACATTAAGTGCCATATTATTTCACATCATGTGGTCTTTGAAGCCGGCAGTATCATAAAATAAACCATATTA